ACCAAAAATCCATTTTTCCACAAAAGATATTTGCAATATCTGTTCAAAGAAGCACCAAGTTATTAGCCCTCCTGGAGGGCAGAACAGAGCGGTCACACCATTGAAGGGACGTGGTGACGACACACAAGCAAACAGCACCGCTGATGGAGGAAGAGACCAGACAGCTACAACCACAGAACCAAGAGTGAAATTATCACACCTGTAATCCCAGTTCTTTGGGAGGCCAAGGTGGGAGGATCATTTGAGCCCAGGAGTCCGAGATCAGCCTGGGCAACATAGCAAGACCTCGTCTCCACCAAAAAAATAAAATAAAATAAGAAAGTTAGCCAGGCATGGTGGCAGCCACCTATAATCCCAGCTACTCAGGAGGCTGATGCAGGAGGATCGCTTGAGCCCAGGAGTTAGAGGCTGTGGTGAGCCATACAGTGCCACTGCACTCCAACCTGGGCAACAGATCTTACCATTTATCAGGAAGTGAGGACCATGGATAGAGACAAGGAAGATGGAAAGAAGAAAAGGAGGAGAGTGGGGAGAAAGCCATGCAAGCACAGGAGAGGGGGAGGGAGTATGTCATGCCCATTCACTTTCGGTCTTTTTTCATCATCCATCATTGGGTGAGCTTCCTTGCCTGCTGGGATTCGCAAACTGTGGTGTAGTTTTAGGTCAGTTATTTAACCTCCCAGATTGAGTAAAACCAGATCTGCAATCCCTGGTCCAATGATACTTCTGCGGGCACACTCCTGAGAGGGGTGGGGAGAGCTCAGAGCATGGGGTTGTCCTTCCAAGAGGTAGTCCTGGTCCTGCCACTCATAGCTATGTGCTGGGCACACGCCAGTCTCTCTCCATGCCTCAATTTTCTTATCTGTAAGATGAAGAAATAATTGTCCCTGTCTAATAGGGTCATTGTGAAGATGAAATAAATGATGCATGGAAATAAATGGGGCCCGGAACATAGTGGATACCATATATTATCACCACCCCCACAGGTCACGGAGTGAAGAAAAGGGTGAGTCAGTCAACGAACAAGGATTGGTGGCTCTGGCATGTGTCAACCACTTGGCTAGATCCACAGTTAACGGTGAAATGCCGCCTTTCACAAAATTAAGAGGGTCTGCCTTTTGTTAGTTACAGCCTAATGGGCAAGATGGACAGTAAGCAAATTAGGACAAATAATTAGCTAAATGAGGACAAGAGGTAATGAACCAAACTTCTCCAATGGAAGGCAGGGGACAGTGCTAAAGATTCGCCTTGCTTGTATAAGCTTAAAGCACTCGCTGCAACCGAGAGACTCCTCACTGTTGATATTTTGGTGTAACTTCCTTCTAGGTTTTTCCACTTATGCATATACAGTATTTCACTGAATCTGTGACATGGTTAGTTTTAAGACACATCATTACTTTATGTGCTAAGAACATTGCCGATTAAACTGAGATACAGTAACAATTGTAAGGCACCTTTGGTTTCAGTGATAGTGAAATACACAAAGATATGTTTTTACACTGACAAAATTTGGTATAATGCATTTTAATATAATTGTGGTCCCCTCATATTATATCGTCACATATACTGTGCATGCTGCCTTTCACTTGAAATTATACCATGAAGATTTTCTCCTATCACTAAGAATTATTTGAAAATATGATTTTTAAGTATTATATTTGTTATGAGCACAACTAGGTTGTGCTAATTAATTATACGGTGTATTGGCAGCCTGGTATGGTGACCAAGAATGCAGTCTGGATATCTGTTCAAATCCTGACTTTGGCTACTTCCTGTGTGACCTTGGGCAAGTTACTTCTCTCTATGTCTCGTTTTTCTCAACCGTGAAGTGGACACAGCAATAGAAATTCCCTTGTTAGACTTGGGGATTGGTTAATGCTTGTAAAGAAAGGCCTACAGCATAATAAGTGTCCAGTAAATATTAACCATGGTAATTACTTAATACTCTGTTATTGGTCTTTTGGGTTGTTTCTCAGATTTCAGTAATGATGCAGGAATTACATTTGTTATAAATTTTTGTCCTTGCTTCTAATTATCACAAAGCATTTAAGATGTGGAATTACTAAATCAAATGGTATAAAGTTTTAAGTGTACTGACAAAGACCATCAGATTATTTTCCAAAAAGTTCTGCTATCTGGCCAACCCACTAGCAGGGTTTGCAAAGACAGGTTACCACATACACTACAAATCATTACTACTTTGTGAACTATTATTACTGCTACCTCACTGTCTCAATTTTCAGTTCTTAGCTAACCAATGAGATGGGACATTTTGATTTTTTTTATTCAGATTTTCAGTCCAAATTACTTTACCCAGAGATAAAAGTCATTTGCAAAGATGTTGGTAGGAAACACTCCCTGAAAATAGAGCAATATATCCAGGAAAGAGAAAACTGAGGCAGAGGCTAAAAAGAGATTTGTTTAACCCACAATTATCCCCGGGTCTCAGAGAGACTCTCTGAATGCTAAGAATATTCTAGAAAAACATCAGCTTTCTACTTATTATCCCTGCACACAGGTTAGTCCAGAGTCCCAGGACAGCAGAAGTCCCTGGTAGAGAGTAGGATATTGTCTCTCTCTCTCTCTCTCTCTCAAGAGAGGCCATCAGCTGCACTTTGAACAGCAGTGTGCGACCTCACCATACCTTATTCACATCACGTAAACGCTTTCCGTTTTCTGGGATTTAAATAGCTGTGACTTGAAAATGCTTGTAGGTGGCAGTACTACACTTCCCAGACCCTCCGCTGAGAGCCCTGTCCAGCCACAAGTCATGACCACACCCAGAGCACCTCTCCCCAGGACCCAGGTTATTCCAGAAGAGGAAGTGGCAATATTGCTAACACCTTCCCGAAGAAGCAGAAACTGTGAAAGTAAGGACCAGCAGGTTTGGGGCCAATTAAAAAGGCAGAAGTCAGGGGTACTATTTCTCAGGAGAGGCCCACCATTCCCCCTGAAGTACAGTAATACAGTAATGAGATGTCAACTCGGTGAATATCCAGCCACTCCCAAAGGTAGACACTAACAACCCCATTTGCTGATGAGGAAATGGCATCCGTGTGCACAGGAAAGAGGGAGAGCTCTCAGAATCTCTTCTGAAAAGGACACTAATCCTAACAGATCAGGGCCCCACCCTTATGGCCTCCTTACAGGCCCCATCACCAAATACGGCCACATCAGAGGTTAGGGCTTGAGCATGTAAAGTTTTGGGGAGACACACACATTGTTTGTAACACTCCTTTCCTGAAATTCCAACTCCACCCTTCCCAACATTCCTTTACCTTTTTATCTTGCTCTGTTTGCCCCCACAGCTCATCTTTTTCACATACTCTAGAATGTATTCGTATACATTTTATCTGTTTATGATCTGTCAACTTTTCTACTAGAATGAAACAAAGTTATTAAGGGCAGGGGTCTTTGTCTACTTAGTTCATTATGTGTCCCAGATACCTAGGTTAGTGCCTAGTACACAGTTGGTACTCAAAAATTCCTTGCTGAATGACTGGCTAAAGAGAAATGTATGCACTCTCCCTAACCCCCTTTCTCCTTCTATTCTCTTTGCTCATCACCAGGTTGTGCAGGCCTAAAAAATGGAAAAGCAATACACTTCAGCGATCAGCTATCAGATCTGATTTCTAAATGGAATGAGGACTACTGGCTTTCCTGAAACTATGTCCTCAGCAAGTCACTTAACATATGGGACTGTTTCTTCATCTGCAAAATGGAAACTATCAATCCTAGGTATTCCTAGGAAGAGGAGATGGACGAAGGGACATGTTAAGCTATCAATAGCTAAACTTGCACTTCAGTTTCAGTTGTGCGGCTCTCTGGGGAGTGACTCTTAACCATCAGTCTCACCTTTCTGAGCTCCCACTGTCTTTCCTGCAATGCTTGGATAAAATCACTCTGAGATATAGTGGCAAGAATCAAGAGATTCTTTAAGGCGGAGTGCCATCACTTATGCCTACAATTCGGCACTTTGGAAGGCTGAGGTGAGAGGATCACTTGAGGTCAGGAGTTTGAGACCTCCAAAAATTAAACACAGAAACTACCATAGGACAGCAATTGCATCCCTAGTTATAATCCAAAAGAAATGAAAACAGGTATGTTAATATGTGTACCTGATGTTCACAGCAGCACTATTCACAATAGCTAAGAGGAAGAAACAGCCCAAATGTCTATCAACATATCAGTAGATAAACAAAATTGCACTATACACATATAATGGAATATTATTCGGCAACAAAAAGGAATAAAGTACTGATACATATTACGATATGAAAGAACATCAAACACATTATGCTAGGTGAAAGGTGCCAGATACAAAAGGTCACAAATTGTATGATTCCATTTATATGAAATATCTGGAAGAGATAAATTCATAGAACAAAATGCAGATGGGTGGTTACAGAAGGATAATAGAGAAGGGAGAATGGGGAGGAACTAGATTTTCTTTGGGGGTGATGAAAATGTTTTGTAACTAGACAGAGGTGATGGTTGTACACAATAAATGTGCTAAATGTCACTGAATTGCACCCCTCAAAGTGGCTAATTTTATGTTAGGTGAATTTCACTTCACTGAAAAAACAAAGAGAAGAAGAAAGAAAACAGATGACAAAGGCCTTTGTAGACAGCAGCCATCTGGCAACTGGGTTCTGGGCTTAGTTCTGCCACTTACTGGCAATGACAAGGCAAGTACCTCTCTGAGCCTTGGTTTCCTCATCTATAAAATAACCAAGTTGGGTTAGATCACTAGTTCTCAACCAAGACAGTCTGTATCAGTCGCATGGAGAGCTGCTTCTGAATGCACAGGGCCATCTTGACACCCTCAGATTCTGATACATCCAATACAATCAAACTTGTGTTACTGCTGAAAAAATTATTTCAGGACTTAAATCCTTTGGAGAACCTCAGATTAAAAGACCTCCAGCAGCCTACGATTCTAGTACACCCATCTGTAATCGTTGTATGTAAGATACAATTTGATAAAGAAGACAACACAATAAATGGAGAACATTTATTAGGGAAAAAACACTCCAAACACTCACAAGTAGTTATCTGGCACATTAACCTTTGGCCACCTGGCAACCACACAGGAAAAGGACATCAGGATAGAGTTCATGAGATTTTGCTTACACCACTAAAGGAGTTTTAAGGCAGATTAATCCAAAACTGCAAAAACTATGTCTATGACATAAACACGACATTCAAAACTAACTCAGCCCTCAAAATGTCCCCAGTACCAACAAATCACTGACAGCCACTGTCAGAGACAGATTTAAAGAGTCTCAAAAACAACCCGATGTGACACCAACATAGCTGGAGCTGTTCTATGCGTAGTCAACACAGACTGCCGGATGCTATTTGTAGACCTCCACTCCCACAGGTTTTTATTTCACATAAACTTATTACACTGTCCCAGGAGAGCACATTAGGCGAGAGAAAAATAGGATTCACTACTGTGTACCATGAAGAGAATTAAAGAAAACACAGGGCCGGACAAGGCCACACCAAGATGGGTTAGTGACTTTTCTCGCAGATCCTCACAGGCACTGAGATGAAGCTTAAAAATACGCTGGGGTAAGCTCCGTCCTTCCTTCCGTGGTAACCACCTGAATTAGGCTTCCTGAGCTTGGTCGGTTTTTCCCTGTGATCCAGTCATAGAAGGTTCTAGAACAAAGAAGAGAAGTTTTACATTTTCAAAGCAAAAATCTGGCACATGATCCAATGGCTTGGAGTAGGGTGGAAAGGTTGTGAAAAGCCACTAGGCATGGCAGACACATACCCAGGATCCCAGTGAGTTCAGTAGCATTCTCATTCTAACTTCTGAGTGGCAGGACTTGGCACTCAGATTGTAAATTTCATTTTTGTATTGTTCTCTAGTTGGAATTCTTTATAACATCAAGAAATGATTTTAAAATAAAAAATATTTTAATTAGTGCATTCTAAGAAATATATGCATAATATTTATACTTTTCTATATTACCTCCTCAGAAATTTAAAGGAAAGAAGAAATTCTTCTTTATGTGTTTAAGCAAATATTTATAAAGCACTTAGGGCTGAGCTAAGCAATGGAAGAATAGATATTAAAAAACAGTCTACTAAAATAAATGATGTTATTTTATATAACAAAAAATGTTATTGTAAAATACAGAAATGGGGGCATTTCACAACTCTGTGAGGAGAGGAACAACTCATCCTGCCTGGAGTAGTCAGGAGGACCCCCTCTAAAAAGATAAGAATTTTTAAAAGCACAACAAATTCACAAGGAAAAACAAGTAGATAATATATATATTCTTTTCCGAGTTGGAGACTCACTCCTTTGCCCAGGCTGGAGTGTAGTGGCACGCATGCTCATGGCCTCCCAGCGTCGACCTTCTGGGCTCCAGTGATCCTTCCTCCTCAGCCTTCCGAGTAGCCGGAACTACAGACACGCGCTACAATGCCTGGCTATTTTTTATTTTATTGTAGAGATGAGGTCTTGCCAGGTTGCCTGGGCTGGTCTCGAACCCGTAGGCTCACACAATCCACTCGCCTCGGCCTCCCAAAGTGTTGGGATTACATACAGGCTGAGCCACTGAGCCCGGCCAATAATAATTTTTAAAGACATTATATCGATATTTGAGTACCTAATCCACTTTCATAATTCACCAGCTGGGATTTCAGACCTTCTTTATATATATATATCTTTTTTTTTTTGAGTTGGAGTCTCACTCTGTCACCCAGACTGGAGTGCAGTGGCACACTCCCAGCCACCGCAGCCTCGACGTGCTGGGCTTCGGCAATCCTTCCACCTCAGTCTTCCAAGTCGCTGGAACTACAGGTGTGCGCTACCAATTCCAGCCAATTTTTGATTTTACTGTAGAGATGAGGACTCGCCAAGTTGCCCAGACAGGTCTCGAACCCACGGGCTCAGACAATCCACTCACCTCAGCCTCCCAAAGCGCTGGGATTACAGGCTGAGCCACCAAGCCCAGCTCAGACCTTCTTTAATTAGAAGGCACTCAGGTATTCTGAGGATAATCTTTAGGGCCAATCTGTAAAAACCTTCCAGAGGTTTTCTTTAGGGCCAGAGCTGATGTTTAACTGTCCAGTCATCCAGGCCCCACTCTGGAGGTCAAACAAAGGAAGTACATGGACTCAAAATACAAAGTATTGCTAAAATTCCCTGAAGTCCTGTCATGTGTCATAGCCCCACCCTGGGGGCTGAGCTCAGCAAGAGAAAAGCCCTGAAAGAGACCAGTCCCATATGGACGTGCAGGGATTTGTGTGTTTGTTACACTTGTCTTCAATTATCTTGTTCTCTTCGATCTCTTCAGGAGGTGGAGAGAGAACATCATTCTAGAGGGTGGTGTGCTCACCAACATTTCAAAGCAAACTCTGACTTGTCTGGTGAGTTTTCAAATACCACAAATAGATGAATGTGATTTCTAGAACAAAATGTGCTTATACCAGCCTCTGTAGGTCTGTGGCTTGGTATGAATTCAGACACGGGACTCCAGATGTTCTAGCTAGAGTCTAGGTCCTAGATCAATGTCTCAAGTATCATTGGAAGTATTGACCTTTAGAAAGAAATTCAAATGAAGATGCAATGTAAAGCTGGGTTTCTCCCACTTTAGTTTTTTTTTTTTCCTGCAAATCAAGTATTAAGTATGATTCCTGGCACAGGCAAAAATAACTGTCGGCTCACGGATTAAGACCACAGGCTCTGTAGCCACACTGCCTGAGTCAGATCCTGGTCCTGCTGTGTGATATCAGGCAAGTGACTTACGTCCCTGCCATGCCCCTGAGTTCATGAGCCTTCCCTTGGAGTTTGCTATGAGTATGAAATAAGATAATAGTCATGAAGTGCTTAGAATGGTGCCTGGCACACAACAAGTGCTCTGTAAGTACTTGTTTCGCACACAAAATGCAAGACCAAAATCTTTCCCAACTTAATTTCAATGAGATTGTAACATCAGGCCAGAAACACACTGCAAGCTTTATAAACACCTCGTACAGTCATCAAAGCAGCTTATACATGGGCACAGCTGAATGAGATCATGGCCTCAACCTTCTTGGTCCACCTGCTCTGCAGGACAGTGGCCACACCTTGTTTATCACCCTCTCCCAGGGCCAAGCATGGTACCTGGCCTGTAGTAGGTGTGCGATGAATACATGCCAACTAAATAGAAGAGTATGGGGAACTGACAGGCAAACACAAAAGCTGAAATCAACTCTTTCTCCTGTGAGTTTTCAAATGCCACCCATATCCACAACGGGTGAATGAGATTTCAGAAAAAAAGGTCACTGTCGGAAGATCCTTGGCTCAGCACTAATATAGACACATGTCCCCATACTCCTCCTCACAGCAGTTAATGATATGAACAGGAGCTAAGGATCGCCGAGCACTTGCTATGGGCCAGATGCTGTGTGAGAACTTAGCACACACCACCCCATCTAATCCTCCTAACAACCATTAGAGACTTTATTATACAGATGGGGAGACTGAGGCCTAGAGCAGTTTAATAGCATGCTCAGTGTGGTCAGTGGTGAGTGAGAGAGCCAAAATTCATGATGGTAGTACCAGCCCCTCTACTCTACGGCCCATCTCCAAGTCCCTGGGATTCTACCTGATGTCCATATATCCTCAGAGGCCCAGTGACCTCACAAGATCACTCAGACTGATAATCCAAGAGAACACAGACTTGTTCTCTAGCCCACAAAAGGCAAAATGGTGACTGAAAGCTGCTTAGTCACCTACATGACTGTAATACTCACTCGACTAGGAATTCTAAGGGTGTCCAGGAGCTGAAGTCAGCCTCAGGCATTGATTTCCTGTTCATCGGGGTGTCCAGAGTAATCCTGCAGTGCACAGAGATAAGCCTGTCATGTGTGCATCGCCTTGATAATAACAGTGCCCGGGCCTGCTTGGCCGGGAAAATGCAAAGGTGTCGCGTGACTACTGTGGGGCTCTGGCATCAAGGGCGACAGTTATGTAGGGAGATCAGACAGGAGGATAAGCAGACAGCAAGCAGGAAGCTGTCCACATGAACAAAGACCACATCTGAGCATAATTTAATAAGGTGTGACTCGCCCTTTAGGCAGACAAACAAAATGGAAGGAGCCACATTTTGCCTTTTTCTAAAAAATATAGCCTTTATTAAAGCATTTTGTTGTTAAGTTTTTGTTCACTCCCTAACATTCAGCTGACTCACTTCCTAGGATGTAAGTGTAACAATACTGCTTTAAATATAGGAATATTGAAATATCAAATTTTTTAATATGTGGCTACTTTCCTTAAAACCTTATGATATTCGGCAAGAAAATAAAGAATTCAGGTATGTATGACTCTCCCAAGAATATTCAGGCCTTAGGAATCAGAAAAGTTGTGGGACCAGATCACAGAAGCACAGAACCTCACAACTGAAAGGGAACTGGCAAGTCAGTCAGTGCAGCTCCTGGGCAGTCCCAGAGTCCCTTTATAGGACCACAGACAGGAGGCAAGCCTGCTGGTGCTGGAATCCTTCCAACAACAAGGAACACTCTCCCCCCAAAGGAGCTGCCTCTGCTTGAGACAACTGATGGGGACCGTCTTCCTGAACAAAAAGAGAAATATCTCCCGTGGTTTCCCATATTCTCCCACACACCCTCCCCCTAAACTGCCACCATGCCTTGTAACACACACAAACACACACACATGCACTCACTGTAATATGACAAGAACTACATATAATAAAACACATAGACTATTTTGGAAGGAAGGAGGCTGGGCACAGAGGCTCAGACCTGTAATCTTAGCATGTGGGACGCCAAGGCAAGAGGGTTGCTTGAGCCTAGGAGTTCGAGGTCAGCCTGGGCAAAATAGCGAGACCTCATCTCTATTAAAAAAATCAAAAACTTAGCCAGGCCCACTGGTATCTGCTTGTAGTCCTAGCTACTCAGGAGGCTGAGAAGGGTCACCTGAGCCCAAGAGGCCAAGACTACAGTGGGCTGTGATTGTGTCCCTGTACTCCAGCCTGGGCAACAGAGTAAAACCCTGACTCAAAAAAATAAATAAAAAATAAAGGAAAGAAGGATCGAAGGGGAAAAGAAAAAAACAGAAAACAAGGAGCAAAAACGACAGACCTCTTCCACCAGCCAATCAACCATTCTGAACAGCCCAAGATAATCTAAAACCTGAAGAAGTATTGCTACAGTCCGAATGTATACCCCCCCAAATTCATAGGTACAACATATTCTGCAATGTGATAGTATTCAGACGTGGGCCTTTAGGACACAATTAGGTCCTGAGGGCTTTACTTCCACAAATGGGATTAATGCCCTTATAAAGGAACCTGAAGGGAGCCTATTATACAGAAGGCACCATCTACAAAGAACAGGCCCGGATACCGAAGGTTTCTTGATCTTGGACTTCCAAGCCTCCAGAACCGTGAACACTAAAACGCTGCTGTTTGTAAATCATGTTGTTTGTATTTTGTTACAGCAGCACAGACTAAGAAAAATAACTTAGTGGCCTTTGGTGAATATCAGAGCCTGAGGTGATGGCACACAAGTCAGACAAACAAATGTTAACCCTCAGTGCAGCTGAGGTGGTCAGCAGCAGAGAAGCCCTCAAGCACTTACGGGAGCACAGCGATGGCAGCTGACCCAGGTGGCATGCCGCTGTTCCTCCCGGCGAGACTCTGGCAGAGCTGGTGGACAGCACCCTTGGCCATGCCGTACCCGATCATCCCTGGGAAATGGGGAGAAGACAGCTGGGTGATCCCTGGCCACCAGAGGGATAGCAAAGACATGTAAACTTCTGAGCATCTCTGTTCCCTGAAAACTTTATAAACACCTGGGCCTGGCCTCCTCCTTCAGGCAGGATACCCTCACTACCCCCCACCAAAAAATGACAACAAGCAAAGAGAAAGAGGGGGTGGGGACAGGTAAGCAGGGGGGTTGGCCTCTGGTCAGTGTCCAAGTACACAGGCTTCACAGAGGCCACTGGAATGTCCAAGGAGTACCACTGCCGGGTCTAGAGGAGGCCAGAAAGTGAAAAACAACATTTATGGAGAAAGTGAAAGGGTCGTGACATTTCAAGTTCACCTATTATTCACCTAGTACCTAACATTTATCACTGAGAAATAAAAATAAAATCGTAAGCCCCCTAATCAAGTGAACAGACCCCCTCTTGGCTGTGGGGAACCCAGAGAAACCTTAAAATCCCAGCCACGAAAGGATGGTAGGTTGGACATGTCTCAGTGTATCCCTTCCTTGTTAAGCTGTAACCAGAATTATTTCCTAGAAGTAAGCAGAAACCAGCTCTGGAAAACAAGAAAGGGACAACTCACTCCTTTTTCACCTTTGGCCAATCATCTAAAGCCACAACTGGACTCCCCACTCGCCCCACCCCCGTCCACCCCCCACTGTAGTTTCACAATGCATCCCTTCCTAAAAATTGACCACCATCTACAGACCAGTTTCGGCCAACTAGCAGAGGATGTGCAGTGAGGGTTTTTGTGTCCTCTGCTTCACCTTTCGACATCAGAGGGCCCAAAACCCCACCCTCAAATCATGCCGGTGCCACCATTTTTTGAACATCTGATCTATGAAGAGGCACAAAGCACAAATATTCACAACTCCTCCTACAGTCTATTAATTATATATATTCAGCCACCCTATTCAGCACAAACTCCTGTCTTATCCTTCTAACTCTTTAAGCACTTGCTCTCCAAAGAAGCCAGAGGCTACAATTCCCAGCATGCCAGAATGGCCACCCTGCAGGCCACAACCCTTTTATGAGAAAGGAAGCTCTCCTTTACAAATGTATGAGCCTTCGGTTGACATCACAAAAGTCATGAGGTTGACTGTATTTTTATCAAAGGAAACCAAGGCTCAGGCAGGTTGAGTAATGTGCTGGGCTCACACAGCCTTGTACTGAAGCTGAACAAGAGGTTAAAGCCCAGGGAAGAGCTGGGCTCGGAACCTTTTGATTGCTAGCTCCTTGTGAGCACCTGGCACAAAGAGGTAGACAATGGGACAGCAAAAATCAAGGAGTCATTTGGAGAGCATGCTCTGGAGTCAAACCAAATATGTTCAAGTCCCAGTTCCCCCATTTACTGCTAAAGAAATCCCGGGCAAGTTCTCAAAGCCAGTCTAATCCTCCATTGGTCCATCTGAAAATGGCCTTCGGGTATTTTCCAATACTAGCAACCAAGTCTCTGATTCTCCAGACACCAAACGGGTGTCCAACACTTCAATCAGAACTCTAGGTAGTTAGTGTCAAATTCCACAGTTAAGGGCTCATCCTCACAAGACCTCCCCTACTTCAGATACCAGTCACAAGTCCTGGGCCATCTGTATTTCTAACCAATGCTATAAATCAGGGGCTCTCATGACCTTTTGAGGACCAATAATTTGCTAGACTGGCTCAAAGAACTCAAAGAACAGGCAAATACTTTTTATATTTACTGGTTTATTCTACAGGATACAACTCAAAAAGAGACAGAGGCAGGCTAACAGAAGGGGTAGGCTTGGAGCTTCCACGCCCTCTCCAGTCATGCCACCCTCCCAGTACCTCCTCTCATTCACCAATCAGAAGCTCATCACATCTTGTTGTTCAAGAGTTTTTATGGAACTTAATCTCTAGCCCCTTCCCCCAATCCTTTCCAGGAAGTCAGCGGGTAGAGATGAAGTTCCAACCACGCCCCACCCCATCACTTGGTCTTTGTAGGGGGCAGCCCCATCCTGGGATATCTAGGGGCCCCAGCCTAAATCAGCTCATTCAAATAAGCTCAGGTATGAATAACAAAAGACTGTCTTATTACTCTGAAAATTCCAAGGATTTTAGAAGTTCCATATCAGGAACCAGGGACAAAGAGCAAATATACATCTTATCACACATGGGAATAAAGTACTTCAATTCTGAGTATACCCTCAGCATACCCTATTGAGAGTAGGCACTCAATAAATGTTTCCAATCAAGTTAATGGAAGTAACAAACCCTGGAATCCAACTACCTGAACTACTGGCTTCATGTCCTGGCCCGGTTGCTTGCTAGTGACAAAGGTACTTAACCTTGAGTCCTTGGTTTTCCATTCCATAAAATGAGAATGACAATCTCAAATCCTAAAGATGAAACAAAAAACTGAATAACAGCCCTCAGTGCAATGCACATAGGAACACTCATTCCTGGTCAGTACTGTCATTCATGACTCTGGGTGAGTCACTGGCAACCCTTTCCTCAGATGGAAATAAGGAATAGCAGAAAAGATTGGATCTGGAATTCAAATAGCGGGGTTCTAACTCCTGCTTTTATAACCACTAGAAAAACCACAGATTCCTGGGGCCTGTTTTTCCATCTGTAAATGTAAGTAGTAACTCAGATCTCAATTTATTCACAGGGTGGTGCTGAGGCTCAAAGGAGACAGTATCCAGGAAAGGGCCTTGGAAACCACGGAAGGCACACACAGGATCTGTCAGGGTGGGTGAAGCCAGCCTGGTGTATGAGGGTCTTTGCCTGAATGATGCTCTCCTGGTGACTGAGTAGGAAGAGAGGCTGGTATTTCTCCCACACTCTGCCACCCAGCCATTGTTATTCATATTGCAATATGTGATTCCTCTCCATATCAAACAAATCTGCTGCCTATTGGGGGCATCTTCTTCCTCATCAGCCACAAAAGAACTGACTATGCTCACCCTGATATGATTGCTGTGGTGACAATTCTGACCTTAGCGCCCTCATGCTCACCAGGCATCAGTCATTCTGCAGCCCTACAAAGCCAGAGCTGGGAGAGCAGTACCAGGGTCTGTCGGCTCCTGGGCGTCAAAACCCCATTACCCTATCCCATGTTATTGTGTCTCTCCTATTTGAGAATCCCTAGACTCAGTGTTAGAAAGACAAGAAATGCAAGGCAGCTCCCTGATCCCTGATAGCAGCAGAGCCCAGAAAGAGCTCAGGATCTGGAGTTCAAGGCCAAGGCTTCAAACCCAATATGTTTCTTCACCGCTGTGATTTGGACAAGCAGTTTTTTCAGCCTCTGGTTCCTCCCTGCTAAATGGGATATCAATGCCCAAGTCACAGGGTTTCCTCAAGATAACGCAAAATGTGGCACAAACACATCCTATAAACTCTAACAGGCTCTTTCATTCCCAGAAGAACAAACATTCCACAAAGAAAGGGATTTTCATTGTTTGGTTTATCATTGTACCTCCAGTCCAATAAGTGAATAAATGTCTTATTCATTGCTGTTAGAAAAAAGCAATAGGTGAGGTCCCCGAGGGAGGACAATGGGGCTTAATCCAGTGGTGGACCCTAAAAAGCTGCAAGAATTAAAGAACAAACTGACCAGATACAGTGGCTCACACCTGTAATCCCAGCACTTTGGGAGGCTAAAGCAAGAGGACTGCCTGAACCCGGAAGTTAAGAGACCAGCCTGGGCAAGGTGGCAAGATCTTATCTCTACAATAAATCAAAAAATGAGCCAGGTGTGGTGGCACGCACCTGTAGTTCCAACTACTTGGAAGGCTGAAGCAGAAGGACAGCCTAAGTCCAGCAGATTGAGGCTGCAGTGGCCGTGAGCATGCCACTGCACTACAGCCTGGGTGGCAGAGTAAGACTCGGACTCAAAGAAATAAAAAGAAAAAAAAAAAGAACAAACTGGTAACTCTGCTTCCTTGAAAGTACTTTATGTGCTTCCCAGTAACCCATTCATTTCTCAATATTCCAGACAAACTAACTTTTAAATAATAATCTATGATGAAGTGAAAATAACAAGGCACAAAAAACCTCTAGAGATGCATCAAGTTACGGTTTCTTTTAAACATGTGAATGTACATGTAAGCATGGTGAGGATGCACACTAGAACAGGCACAGAATGCTTCCAGAAAGTTACATAAAAAGCCTAATTGTAGTTGGACCCAGGGAGGGAGTGCCGTAGGGATCAAGAGTTCGAGCAGGAGGGCATCTTCCTATTTGGTGCATTTCTTTTGGTACCATGTGAATTTTTACTACATGTGTTGGTTAGTTTTTTGTTTGTTTGTTTGTTTTTTTGAGTTGGAGTCTCACTCTGTCACCCAGACTAGAGTGCAGTGTCCGCTTCCGGCCCCTGCAGCCTCAACCTGTTGGGCTCCGGTGATCCTTCCGCCTCAGCTTTCCAAGGAGCTGGAACTACAGGTGCGCGCTACCACATTCGGCTAATTTTTGATTTATTGTAGAGATGAGGTCTCGCCAAGTTGCCCAGGCGGGTCTCGAACCCGCGGGCTCAGGCAATCCACTTACCTCAGCCACCCAAAGCACTGGGGTTAGTTTTCAATTTGAAAGCTGATTACTAAATTATTTAAATAAAAAATAATAACTGCTTTCTCACCTTTTTCCTTAAGCTCTACTTAAGTCCTACTTACCCTTTTCCAAGACCCTGCTCGAATCAGCTCCCTCCACAAAACATTCCCAGGGGAATCACCTCTCCCTTCAGCTCCCCACCCCATGCATTTTGTTGAGATCCTAATTCAGCACAGTCTCCCACTCACACCGCCCATATATAGCAAGCAGTCGGTAAAATTACTGAGTCAATGGATCAATTCATTATTCAGACCAATCTGTTACTAACTAACCAGATGGTCCTAGACAAGTCAACCAAAAATCACTGAATTTGGGTTTTTTTCCTGTGTAATCAAGGGACAGTAATAGCACCTATTTTTATGGGGACCTCTATTGATGAGGGCTTAGCCCAACAAGCCTAGCACCCAGGAAAGAGATGCCTAAAACAAATTTTTTTAACCAAATTTTCTGAAGTATAACTGAAATACAATAAACTGAGAATGTTTAAGTTGTACTATATGAGCAAATTCTGACGTATGTGTACCTGCCACCTTTCCTCCCACTATTCAGTGAACATGCACTGACTGAGGCGAGGGATGCCTTTCATTAGGGTCAGTTTTCATCTGCCCCACAGGCATGTGGCAGGAGCCCGGTCTCTCTTCTCTTCACTTTCCCCTGTGACACCCAAATGTAGCTGCTCACTAAATGCTGCTACCACAGGAAAAATAATAATTAATCACTGTAAACCTCACCTCCTTTAAAACTACTGCTTCCTCTAGAGGTCAACAGGCTCCCTAAAACCCAGCACACATACCGCTAAAAGTGTAACAGCTGTGGGGGCATCACATGTTTAGGGAAGGGAGGGGAGAATCACAGCCCAGCCCAGAGCCAATCACAAAACTGCTCCAAAAACAACCTCGAATTGCAACAGAGGGTCAAGGTCTCAAAAAGTGAAGCACAAGAAGAGTATTTCATCATCCCTAGCTTCTCTGTTTAATCGGGGACAGAAGCCAATAACGGTATAAAAATATAATAAACTCCTCAGTGATTAATATAAACCAGGATGTAAATGCTCATTAATCCAGCCCTAGTCTTCAGCAAAGTTCAGGGCTCTCTCTTCATTCTATTCAAACAACACAAAAGCAGTGAATCTGATGGAGGAAAGAAACCAGCAACCCTAACAGCCTAATTCTCCAGAACAACATCTTCCTGAGGCATAAAATGTGAGTAAGAGGATTTCTTGCAAGATATGAAAAAAGTGCATTTCACTAAGATAAGCACTTCCAAATTATAAAATGATCGATGTTGTTCTCAAAAACTGATTTCCAATCACAGCACAGATTCTTTACTGGTAAACAAAAGTGGTCACTATCATTTTAAGTTTATCCTACAGAAGACAGCCTATAAATGCAACCTAGGTAATAGGTGGGTAGGGTTTTCTCAGTATTGTTCCAATTGACAACCTTCCATTTTTTAACCAATCTTTTTGGGTTTGTAGGACGATTAAGCCTGGCTCATCATTCACTTCCAAGTCATAGATTCACTTTCCTAGATTTTTCTGGCATCTGAACCAAAGTTAAAAGATCTCATGACTCAGATTAGTTTAACAACATCTAACCTAAGAGTTTAAATATGGAAGGAAAAAAAAAACAAAAAAATACTTGTTAACATCTGACACAGGCATCACCTGGCAGACGCCTGGAGCAAATAATAATAATGGTTCACATTGACCATGGACTGTTGTAATGCCTTTCTAGACCATTCACATCCATTAAGACATTTACAACACACAACCACCAGACAAAGGATTCATTATTATTTATTCTTATTTTGCTGATGACAAAATGGAGGCTCAGAGAGGTTAAGTAATTTGTCAAATGGGTCACAGTAAGTGGCACAGCTCCAATGGAAGACCAACCTGCACCTGCAGTCCTAACCACTACCCAAAAATGTAAACAAAGAAGGGTACTTACAAACCAAAGGAAAGTAGGAAACTGGTCTGTCCTTTAGAAAAATCAGGCTTTCAGCCCTAGGGTTTTGTTTTTCAAATGTCAAGCCATGACTCATCTCTCTTTACTTTTTAGTGCCTCTGCTCTGTGTCACCTTTAAGAAAAATCAGATCTCAACCAGACACTTAAAATTTACACAGCTCTAATCATTGCAACAGCTGTGGACTTGTATGATCATATGCGCTAAGAAATGGAAGAAGGAAATAGCAAGAAATTGTTGGTCAGAGCCTCATAGTTCAAAGAGTTACATTAAAATTGAGAAGGTGCCCAAGGTTTCTACCTTTTACCAAACAGTCTAAAAAAAGTTCCCATTTCTCCAAGAAGAGTTTAACTTAGATTGCAGAGGTAGGCCCTTTCTGCCTCCCGGTGTGTCCCCTTTACCTCCACTTAAAGTCTTTTAGCCCTATTCCAAAGGGAGTGTTATGAGCTGAACTGGATTTTTCCAAAATTCATATGTTGAAGTCCCAACCCCTAGTACCTCAGAATGTCACTGTATTTGGAGATATTTGAAGAGACATTTAAATTTGGGTATTTAAAGAGGTGATTCAGTTAAAATGAGCTCATTAGGGAGGGCCCTAATCCAGTATTACCAGCATCCTCATGAGAAGAAGAATGAGGACACAGATACACAAAGAGGGAAGACCATGTGAGGACACAGGGAGAGGGCAGCCATCTGCAAGCCAAGGAGAGAGGAGTCAAAAGGAACCAACCCTGCCAACACCTTGAACTCAGACATTTATCCTCCAGAATTGTGAGGAATTAACTTTCTGTTGTTTAAGTTATTCAGTCAATGGCAGCTCAAACAAACTTACACAAAAGTAAAAAAAGGCAAAGGAAACTTGGGTCTTCGTGATGTACTAGAAAAAGCACACAATTTGGAAATGATCAGGGGTTGGGTTCAAAGTAAGTTTGCAACTTACTTATTGTATAAATCCAGGCATGTTACCTAACTCTCCAAGATTTAGTTTCCTAAACTGTAAACTGAAAAAACAATGATATCTACCCCAGAATTAAATGAGAATATATGTAAAATGAAAAGAGTGAATATAAAAATGCCTGTAATCTACTGTGAATATAGTAAGACACCATTTATTGTGAATATAGTAAGACTCTACCATTTATTGTGAATACAGTAAGACCCGCCATTTACTGTGAATATGATAAGACCTACCATTTACTAGTGGCTACTATGTGCTGGGCACTTGCTACATACCAACACCTCTACAGCTTTACCTCTACTCTTCATGTTAGATATTACTGTCATTATTTTATGATTACTACAGCAGAAATTTAGTCAGCGAGATCAAAGAACTGGTTCAAGGCCACACATCTAGGATGAAGAATCTATACCCAGCGTCTCTCATTTTAAAGCCTATGCTATTTCCAGCAGCCAGGCTGGGATACATGGATACAATGTGCAAATAGCAACACTGTTGATTAACTAATTAAGATCTACTACACCATTCATTCCTGACTGGATCACAGACAAATGAACCAAAGACTGGGTGCCAGATCTCAGTGTTCCTTAACCACGATAATCATGAAGACAGATGCAAATGAAAGGATCAAGACTCTTCCCCTTAAAAAGAGTTAGGCCTAAAAGAAAGCAAAACCCATCCAAACTGTAAAGCACCTCAGAGGGTAAAGGGCTTTAACAGTTCTCATCCCACAGAAGTGTCCAGCAGCCCCAGCAAGCAAGGTAAGCATCGCCATTTCACAGACAGGGATATAAAGGCTTACCAGGAGTCCCATCTAGAGCAGCCTTTGCACCAGCCAAAGTCAGGACGCCTCCTTCCTTGAGGTGCTTGGTGGCCAGGTGGCTGGAAATGGTTGATGTCCATAGGCTCTGCTTCCACATCAGGTCACAGTTTTTAAAGAGAGCTGAGTGAAAAAACATGTGGGCTCAGTATTCCCAGTAAAAAAACTGAAAGATGAGCTCACCTCATACAGCCCTACATGCAAGGAAGCCCTTCCCCAATCCCTGGATCCCTGTCTACAGAAAATAAACAGCACAAGGCTCAGTGGTCAGAGACATGGATTCAAATCCAGGCCATGTGACTGCCCAAGTCTCAGCTTCTTCACCTGTAAACTGGTAAAATCTTAGCAAATAAAATTTTAGCAAATAAATCTGGAGTTAACTGTTTTGCAAGACTGACCTGAATTCAAAGATTGTTTTGCTTTATGAAGGTTATCAGATTTGTAATAAAAGCCTATATGTCTACATCAGGTTTTCCCCAGGATAATCCAAGGGCCTATTACTGTACAACCATAAAGAAGGATTTTATAGAGCTACATTTTTTATGGCTGAAAGTTTAATGTCAGCTTTAAAGACTCTTTACAAGAGAGCTGAAATAACAACCATTTCATACTTGCTTTACTCTCTGGCCTTGCCAGAGACATAAGGAAGAACAAGTGGTAACATATGTCACCCGGCTAACTGAGCAACCCACAGGACACAAGGAAGCCCGTGATTCACAAAGAATGCCCTTCTGAAACAGTTGGAGGGTGGTCAGCAGGCAATAACCAACACAGTGAATTTCCCTGCTAAAAAGGCTAGAAAAAAAAAATGATGGATCCACATTTGTCACTTCTTGCTCCAAAATACATAAAAAGGTTGTCAGGCTATTTTGCCAACCTGATCGCCCCACAAAATACCAATCTCACATTTAAGTATGATTCATGGAATTTCAATGTCTTTTTAAATGGCTTTGGCTAAGAAGTGTGGAAGGGATGATAAAATTAGAAAACTACTATTTTCCAACCCAAAACAGGATAACTACTTCAGGCAGGGATTATGAATGGATGCTTAAAACCACTGTGTGAAGAATAGTTGGGTTACAGGATATTCACACACAATATCAAATGCCATATATCCCACAGATTTCTTATTGATTGCAAACAGAAAAACACACCTTTACAATGGAAGCCTGGCAGTTACTACTTCAACCAAGCAGCAAATTTGGCATCCCCATGGGCAGGGTAATCTGACATACTGAGTTTTCAATGTGATGTAATATGAGGTACACACCATCACTCAGGAAGAGCTCACGTCTCAGAAATGTTTAACCTGAATCTAATCAAGTCTCTAGATCTAAATTTCAATTCACAGGAAATATTGTTGATAGAGGAACAAACCAAACAATACCTTGAAGAAATATTTAGACAAATATTTAGACAAATTTAGAATTCACTGCACACAACTAACGTTCTGGTATATTCCTTTCCATATTTTCTTTGCAAATTACAGAATCATAATCCAAAATGAAAACTGACTAGGACTGGACAAAAAGTCTTATCACAGGAGAAAAAATTTTTTAGGTTAAGAGATTAAAAAACAACAACAACACAATGCAATTATAAATCTAGAGTGAAATATGTTTAGGGAAAAAGACAACTAGAGCAGACATGGAATAAACTGGGGTAATCTGCGTATGGGCTGAATGTTATTATTCTTACAGAATTCCTGTTAATTTTCTTAGGTACAGCATATCATGATAATGTAAGAGAACCAGCTTATTCTTTGGAGATGCATACTGAAATATGGTGGCACATCCACTTACTTACAAATGATTAACCAGAAAAATACACAAAATGCACACACACAAGAAACAAGAGAGCATAAGTATGACAAATGTTAACAATTACCAAATCTAAATGAAGAGTATAGTAGTGTTCATTGAAGTGTTCTTTCAACTTTCCTGAATGTTTAAAAATACTCATAATAAAAAGTGGGAAAGGTCATCAGCTTTAGTAAAAACTCAGTTTTGAGTTCTTCTGACCTTCAGAATGATCTCCCCAGGTCCTGCACAACCTCCACTTCCTGACTAGTAACAAGTCTATAAGGTTTTCTGCCTCTGCTTTAAACTTCAAACCCAATGCCTCACTCCCTCACCTATAAAATGGAAAAGTTAATCATTACCTCACAGGACCATTGTAAAGATTCTGGGAGACAATACAGAAAAACAGCTGGCCTGTCACCTAGTCTACACAGAGGAGCTAATTAACTCAGGAAAGGACTCACACTTGGATTTGGCATTGCCACCAGCCCATCCTCCAGCGACACAAAGAATTGCATCCACCTTGTCTTCACCCAAGAGGTTCCCAACCTCAGCAGTCACCTTAAACACAGGGCGGGAAAAAAAGATGCATAAGCAAAAGGCAAACCAGCAGGGGTTAATGTCTTTACAGATACCTGAGTTTATTTTTTTCTTTTTTTAAGAGAGTTTAAGATAAAGTAGCCGGGCTCGGTGGCTCAGCCTGTAATCCCGTGCCTTTGGGAGGCTGAGGTGAGTGGACTGCCTGAGCCCGCGGGTTCAAGACCTGCCTGGGCAGGCGAGACCTCATCTCTACAATAAATCAAAAAATCAGCCGGGCATGGTAGCGCGTGCCTATAATTCTGGCTACTTGGAGGGCTGAGGCGGAAGGATCGCCAGAGCCCAGCAAGTCGAGGCTGCGGTGGCCGGGAGCGGCCACTGCACTCCAGTCTGGGCGACAGAGTGAGACTCCAACTCAAAAAAAAAAAAAAAAAGATAGTTTAAAGTACCTATCAATTAATACTTTAAAAATCAGATGGAGGACAAAATCTCTGATGAGTGAAGCCCAAATACATTGCAATGTGATTTTTACAAAGCAATCTAGAGTATCCTTATAAACATTCTAAAAGTGGGGTTATAAGCACCCCCTAAAATAAACCAATAAAGAAAAACAGGAAAAGGTTTAAAAATCACCTAGAAATTCACTGCACACAACTAACGTTCTGGTATATTCCTTTCCATATTTTCTTTGCAAATTACAGAATCATAATCCAAAATGACCAATTCTACTCCTCTCGCAATTCAAAAATTCATTTAACTGCAACTCCAAAGAAAATGCCAAAAATAAATTATTTAGAAATTGATAGAAAAAAAAATCAATGGCAATGGCAAATGTTAGTAAATACTGAGTGCATGGGGGTTCATTTTAATGATCTCTCTACTTATACATTTGTTTGAAATTTTAAAGCATTGAAAATATATCCATGTCCTTTTATTATAATTTATTAAAAGACTAGTCCAAGCCGGGCTCAGTGGCTCAGCCTGTAATCCCAGCGCTTTGGGAGGCCAAAGTGAGTGGATTACCTGAGCCCACGGGTTTGAGACCCGCCCGGGCAACTCGGGGAGACCTCATCTCTACAATAAATAAAAAATTAGGCAGTTCTGGCTATTGACCACAACTCTTCCATATTTTTCTGGAATAGCTGAGGTAATACCTCCCAGTTGCTTCATTAAGATCAATTTTCTTAAGACTTAAGACCCTGAATTCTCCCAGCAGCAATACCAGTCCTTTACCTCTGTCCCCAGTTTCACAACAAAACCGAATGCCAGGCTGTTTGTCCAGAAATTCTTAACTGGAGGGAGTGGGAGGATTAGTGCAAGGGTAGAGATTTTAAAAGCTAAGCATATAAGACATTTCTCAATCTCTGTTTCACAGATGCAGATGTACTATATCAAGTCTCAGATGCGGACAACCACCACATTCAAAAACCCACACAAGCTCACAGCTGGGCGTGGTGGCTCATGCCTATAATCCCAGTACTTTAGAAGGCAACCAGCCTAGGCAACATGGCAAGACCTTGTCTCTACAATAAATCAAAAAATTAGTTGGGTGTCGTGGCGCATGCCTATAGTTTCCGCCACTTGGGAGGCTTAGGTGGAAGGATAGCCTGAGCCTAGCAGGTCAAGGCTGCAGTGGATGTGATTGTGTCACTGTACTCCAGCCTCAAAAAAGTAAAAATTTTAAAAAGCCCTTATGGACATCAGAAATCTGCAATTAACAAGAACAGAAGAGACACGATTACAGAGACCCACACTAGCAGGACTGTTGCTCGCCAAGCCCAGGCATTGCCCATCCATGTAGTTTTAATTTTATTTCTTTGTTCACAGGAAGCTGTTTTGTTTTGAGGCAGCTTAGTGCAGGGGTTAAGAAAACAGTCATCAAACCCCAACACCCAGGTCCAAATCCTGGCTATGGCATCTACTACCTGTTCAACATTGGACAAATGCCAGGGACTTTCTGTGCTTCAGTCTCCCCATTTTTTAAAGGGAGATAAAATTAGAATCTTTGTTTTGGGGATGTTACGAAGACTACCTGCGTTAAAGTAAATAAAGCATTAGAATGGAGTCTGGCAACGAACAATGCCATGTCAACTTTTACTATTAAACTCATTAAGGCCAACCTGTATCACTCAGGTCTAGGAAACATTAGGACCATATTAAGAAAAGTAAGAACCAAAAAATACATGTTCTGGAACAAATCATCTGGCTTTTATATTCTAACCTGTGTCAAAGTGACACTTTAGGAAGAGCAAATGAGTAGCACAATTATGCTCACAGCTTTATTTTTGAAATTTTTAGGTTCATACATGTATGTTATAGATGGATGAACTAAAAGGAAATACAAAAGAAGTTAGCTATATGGTGGAATTATACATGATTTCCCTCTTCCTTTTGCTTCTCTGTATTTTCTTTGTTTTTTTGTTTGTTTGCTTTGTTTTGTTTTTTTTTGAGTTGGAGTCTCACTCTGTCGCCCAGACTGGAGTGCAGCGACCGTTCCCGGCCACCGCAGCCTCGCCTGCTGGGCTCCAGCAATCCTTCCGCCTCAGCCTTCCGAGTACCAGAATTACAGGCATGCCCGGCTGATTTTTTGATTTATTGTAGAGATGAGGTCTCGCTGTCCAGGCAGGTCTCGAACCCACGGGCTCAGGCAATCCACTCACCTCAGCCTCCCAAAGGCGCGGGATTACAGGCTGAGTCACCGAGCCTGGCTGCTTCTCTGTATTTTCTACATCATAAATGTATCACTTTAAAAAAAGATTTTAATTTGTTATAAAAACAATAGCCAAAGATCCTAAACTATCCAAAAAGTGTTAAGATCACTAGAGAAAGCACAACTAAATGAACACAGACCCACCTACAGACACCTGAACTTATTAAAGTTCTCGTTGGGAGACCCATGCTCCCAACTCCAACATTAACCAGCCTGTTGGCCATATCACCTAGTCCCTACAACCCTGTTGCAACTATAAAATGGCTCGCCTGCCCGCCTCACTGGGTGGTTGGGTAAATATCACCCAGAGAACTATGTGGAGATTTTCGTGGAAGTGTGGGCTAGAGCACTGGTATGAGAACCATTAAACACAGAGCCAGCCGGGAACAGCTATGTGTGAGGTGAAAGGATCACTAGGGCCCAGAATTTCAAGTCTAGACTGGATAACATAGTGAGACCCCATCTCAAACAAACAAACAAACAAACCCATCCTCCAGGCAGCTCACCAAACAGGCTTCTCAAGAAAAAAAGAATTGTTTAATATATTTATACCAAAACATCCCTCAACTTGTTAACAGTGCTTCCTTCCAGGGAGTGGGATTATTTCCTAGTTTGCTTATATACTTATACAGTTTTGTTAGACTTCTTGTTTTACAATTCACATATAATTTTATAATTTAAAATAACCTATTTTGCTAGTGTTCGTGTTTTGAACTGGGTAACTCCACTTTTTAGAATGTATCCTAAATAATCAGATATGTAGACATAGATGTTCACCACAGCATTCCTGATAACAGTAAAAAATAAAAAAAACTTAAAGGTATAATAAGTAGAAACTAAATAAACTGCAGCCAAACCATGAAATGAAAAATTACACATCTATAAAAAGAATTGTTAAGTGATCTGAAAAGTATTTAATTTAGAGTTTTTTTTTAAAAAAGCCGACCATAAAATATAAAATACAAAATTATTTCAACTTGTAAAACATATAGTATGCACAGGAAAGATTTAAAAACAGGCCAAAATGTTAACAATGAGCTAACTTAAATGATTATAGAATTTTTTTTAACTCTTTTCAAGTTCTCCTGCAGAAGCACAGATGGCTTTCACAATTAGTGAAATAGTAATTTAAAACAAAGGAAGAACACACAGCCAGTGGACACCCTTTTCCAGGGTTCCCCTACCTCAGCATTTGGGGCCTTTCTGGAATTACCTGATCAGCCTGCTCAGTAAATGAGTCTGTCATTTTAACAACAACATTGGCGCTGGCCTCTTCATTCTCCACTACATCGATGCTGGCGACCCACTGGAGCAAAGGAGAAGACAGCCTTGGTCAAGAGACACGGAACTGTTGTTATTCCTTCAAAGATCCACACCCAGAAATGAGAAGAGTGGAGACAGATGAGGGGGGGCTCAAAAGAAAACCCACTAGAGCAAGGAAGTAGCAACTGACCTCTCACACTCCTTGCAGGGACACATGTCTGGCCAGCATACCCAGGACATGGCCCCACCCCTGCCCCTCCTTCCTCCAAACACTCCCCTTTCTCCTCCTCCTCCATCACCTCTAAAAGCCCAACCCTGCATTTATAGAGACACCAGGGGTCAGCAAATTTTGTGTCAGGGGCCAGATAGTAACCAGATAGTAACTATAGGTTTTGCTGGTCATCTGGACTCTGCTGCAATTACTCAAATCCACCATGGTAGCAGGAGAACACAGTTATAAGTAGGGAAACAAATGTGTGTGGCTGTGAGCCAAGGAATCTTCAGATGCTGAAAAATGAATTTCACGTAATTTTTACGTGTCACAAAATATCATTTTTTTTCAACTACTAGAAAATATAAAACCATTTTTAGCTCTTGGACTGTATAAAAACGGGTGGCAGACCAGATTCAGCACACAGAGGCAACCTGCCTGCCCTGTAGCACAGAGGGATGGCCTTTGGATTTGGGAACCAGACAGATGGGGCTTGAATTCTGGCTCTGCTATAAAGTGGCTTTCTCTCCCTCACGCTGGGTAAAATGGGGGTTGTTTATGATGAATAAGGTCAGTGTAAGAATCAAATGAAATAGAGGGTGCGAAATCTCCTGGTACAGATGACACTTGTCCTTACTCAAAACATTTCCGAGTCCCTCAGTCTGAAGGCCCCGGAGATAAATATTTCTGCCTCAAACTATGAACACAGCAGTCATTCAACAACAATAACTCCACACAAGCCATGGAGGATACTGAAACAACAACCAAAAAAAAAGTCTCCATCCCAGTTCTCCCTAAGGAGGTAGGAAGAAAGGAGAAAAACCAAAAAATAAATCAGCTCTCCAGATTCTGCCAAGTCATAGGTAAACCAAAGCGCCCCCATAGGGGCCAAATACAGCCTTCACTCCCCAACACGTGGATACAAACAGGATCTACTGCATTAGCGTTATCTGGGGGATTAAATGAAATTCAGAGTCTCTGAAGAGCTCTGGTATAGAAGCACAGTGCCTGGTCCTTGGCAAACACTCCTTAAATCCTGCCACTGGAACCACCATCTATCTCTGCAGACCTGGGAAGACACCCTCATCAGTCTTCTCAGGTTCTGAGCTGGTGGGTGGCAGGAGAGGGTGCTGTGTTTGGAATCCTTTAGAAGCATATTTCTGTGCTAGACTTTAAGCAAGAAGAAAACCCCACACAGTACAACGTACACCATTCAGGTGGTAGTTAGTTACACTGAGAACCCAGACTTCAACATCAAGCAGTATATCCATGTTACAAAACTGCACTTGTACCCCCTAAAGCCATAGAAATAAAAATACATATATTTTAGCCGGGCTCAGTGGCTCAGCCTGTAATCCCGCGCCTTTGGGAGGCTGAGGTGAGTGGATTGCCTGAGCCCGCGGGTTCGACCTCATCTCTACAATAAATCAAAAAAATCAGCCAGGCATGGTAGCGCATGCCTGTAATTCCGGCTACTGGGAAGCCTGAGGCGGAAGGATCGCCAGAGCCCAGCAGGTCGAGGCTGCGGTGGCCGGGAGCGGCCACTGCACTCCAGTCTGGGCGACCGAGTGAGACTCCAACTCACAAAAAAAAAAAACAAAACATATATTTTAATATCTAAAAAAAGAAAAAAAATACTGGGACCTCTTCCCGGTCCAAGGAGAATCACTCAGGACTGTACTCCAGGCAGTGTCTCACAGGGAATGTGCTGGGCCCATCTGAGAGGCTAGGGTCAAGGATCTCTGACCACCGATCAGCTCTGCTCTGGCTCACCGCCTCCTGGGAATGGATACCTGACGATGCAAAGTAGCTGAAATACTCTTTGCAAAGCATTTGCAGAGCTAAGCCTTCAAACTACCTGGTTCAACGGGGGAGTGGGTAGTGATAGTAACATCAGCAATAGGTGGCATTTCAACAGCTTTTACCAGGCCTCGGGTTATTTACGTGCAGTGACACCAATTGTCTCATTTAATCTTTCTCACAACTCCCCTAAGGGGTAAACACTATCACCACCCCCATTTTAGAGATGGGGAAACTGAGGTCCGTTAATACGCGGTCATCGCATAACCCAAGCCAGTCTTATCCCAGAGCCCGCTTTCTACATTCTCTCTCCCTGTCCTCTCGCCCCTGCTCCCCTCTTCCCCCTTTGGAATTCTTTCCCGAGTCACGTCGGACTTTCTAGGCCAGGTGGAGGCCCACGGAGCGCCCCCGACGCCCCCGACCTTGCCAAGCGAAGGTCTCGCTCCTCGGTCCGGGCGTGCGCACACACTCGGAGGCGGCAATAGATACGTGCAGCCCTGGGCGTGCACGTGCAAGCACCCGAGGCAGGCAGCGCTCAGGGCTTCCTCCAGATGGCCCGCCCGGGCTGCGCCCGAAGGTCCCCTGGCTCCTCGTCGCCATCAAGCCCGCCATCCGCGCGCAGGTCAGCAGCCCCCGGCCCCCAGCATTACCCAGTTGCGGGCCCGAAACGCCTGCACGCATCGCGAGCCCAGCGCGCCCCTGCCGCCGTACACCAGCACCCGGCGAGGGCCTCCAGC